ATCTGTGATATTTCAATATTACTGACTTGATAATGCGTTGCATTCGTAATAATTACGCAAACATAAACATGGGCGCATTTAAATCATTAAAAAGGATAGCAGTCAGGTGTCTACGGAAAGTCAAGAAAATATTTTAAATACTTGTGATTCATCGATGTTCCAATGGTGAATTATTTTATTCGAAATGAAGTGAATATGTAATATAACCATATCGTGCATCATATTAAATTTTACTATAATATAATAAACTCTGGGCAGCGGATTTCGATCGCATTATTCACGTACATTTCGACTGAACTCTGCTAACCACGTGTTTGAATTACGTGCGGCATTGGGTAATGACCTCCAGTGTTCACGCACTGATATTTGAATTCGAACCACCCAGCTTGACCCGTCGACAGAAACCGCTATATCCACTGTTTTTTTTGTATCGGTGTCACCACTGTCGTCTATCTCCGCCAGTTCTGTTTTGAGTTTTCTTATTTCATCGGCGGCATCTTGAAATTCTTGTTCTAATAGTCTTTTAGTAACGTCTAAAACTTTCTGAGTGTTTTCTCTGAATGTGGTTCCAGATATAATAGGGGAGGCGGTAATCCCATATAGCTACAAAATTTACGCATTGCGCGACGACCCAGCTTACGATTCACATCAAAAGAATGTCCACTCTTTTTTGACGCAGGAAAAATGTCAGTCACGGAGTTACATATTTGATTTCACTCTGCGGGCTGACTATAATATGAGCCCAGGCCACTTTCATTTAGATATCTTTTAACGGTGTCGGACATTTTTCGGCGGCCAGTTTTTTTTCATCTTAGAACTCCTTCCCATGATATATTAGGTTATTAAAACACCGAGAAAAGCTTGAAATACTATAGTGTAATGTTTGTTTATGCTTTGATCGCGTAACAGACACTACCTACTTATAGATTACACAGGATATAATAAAGCTGGATGGTCAACAAATCAGTATGCAAATTAAATCCTTTGTCTTCAGTCCGTCACTCAACATGATATGTAAATGCATGAAGGACGTGTTCACCTACAACTAAGTTTCCGGGAATAAATTGAAATTACTCAACAAATGCATGCGCACTGTAAATTTGGACCAAAGATAAAGAAAGTACACAATGTAAGGTTGCATAATCCAGGATTTTTAGAAACAAGTTTTTTTTTCTAGTTTCTAGTTTTTCCCCCTCTCGCTACCTTAATGAGGGCAGACATCCAGGTATTTCCATCGCCTAGCAAAGATCACCTTTGGGATAATTTTGAGATGTGAAACATACTGTAAATTAATTTATTTTAGATGGAATTAATTTTTGCTGAAAAGCCTTTTTGGTGTTTTGTGTGGAATTAATTTTCACTGATATTTTACTAGTTGAATGTATATGTAGAAAAAACGGTATATTTGCTGGATTTAATTTGCACTGAATCATCCCTATAGCAAAAATAGGAAAAATTTATTCCAAGCGAAAATAAAGTATTTTACAGTATTTGCTCAGGATTGTCTCATAGTTTTCTCAACTTTAGCTGTTTTCACAAGTGAACAGTGGCTCTTGAAGAGCCCATATAAATACAGGGTACAGTGGTGCTTGTCTTAGCAACATAGAATGTTCTGTGACCTAACTCCGCCCCTGAGACTACTCACCGTGCACCAATTTAATACTTTTCTCATGTCTTGTCACTCTAAAATCAAAACAAAAGTTTATGAAGTTATTTGTACAAGAACCAACACAATTAACATGCAGTTTTAAAAAGAACATTAACAGAACAGATATCTTCAATTTATGGAAATTGCTATAAAACAATATGTTTAGACTAATATAATATAATATAATATAATATAATATAATATAATATAATATAATATAATATAATATAATATAATATAATATAATATAATATACATGAATCGGAAATATTTATATAAATTTTAAAACATTAAAAATGACATAAGTAAGCAAGCAAAACAAATAAAAATTGGTCATAACAGCAATAAAATAATCTTCTTACATCAGGAAAAACTGTTTGAATTGTCGCTGTTTGCGGATAGAACATGACATCATACATGACAACTATGTGACTGTCAAAGAACATATGGGTTTGACATCTTCTGAGGATGATAGCACTAAAGAGGAAAAAGAAAGGTCTGTCAGTCATGGCTATTCATGGGTACCTGCACAATTGGATTCTGAAAAGGTATGATTGAATACTGCCCTCAAGTCAATGAGTCAAACTTTGCAATATTCTTTGTTTTTATTGGTATAACGGTATTTATCTAAAAGGACACCCTGGGCATGTTTTGGTTAAAGGATCATAATTTGGGAGATCACTGTAACCAAAACACCACCCTAGGTTAATGTCTGGCACCTTTTTTTAACATTGTGTTGTTGAACTGTTTTCAAGTCTTTTCCTGGTGTCAACACAGACCGGCTTACTCATAGAGTATTTTGATCTTTACTTGGCACCATCAAAATTCATGCCTCTAATTAATTTAAAAAATATATATATAATGATTGTTGTCTATTATATTGCGGTGTTGAAAAAAAACTCGCACTCTAACATTTTGTACAAAACATGCCACAACAATCATTATTGTTAAGCAAATTTAAAAAAATGATCTAAAACATGATATCCCTTGATGCATTCACTTATGCAACTTATATTTCTGAGTATCCATAACAGAGATTGCAACAATTTTATCAGTGACAATTTCAACAAAACATGTTGTTTCCTTATTATTGACAGTGTTGTGTTTTTTTATTTTCTAGATTGATAAATATATGAGTTCATTGCCGAATAGTAGTATTCCTAAACTACATACACCTGGTGAAACCAATCGTGATAAACAAATGATTCTGCAAATACCGCGACAAGATCTGTCTTTGGATTTCTGTACTCTTATGGAAGATACAGAAGATGCTGTTGAACAGTTTACCAACTTTGTGGAGTATCGTGATGCTGAGGCGTTTGGAATTGGTATTGTGAAAGATCCCATCCCCACTGACATGGTAAGATCTCTGGAACTCAATCAATTTTTAGCTTCACTGTTGACAAGTCGATAGAGATGAGCTGTTCATATTACTGGTCATCCATCATCATTGTCCGCCATCAACAACTTTACATTTTTGACTTTTTCTTAAAAACTGTCAGCTGTATGGGTGTCATATTCACTACAAATGTAACTTAGGCGTTAGTTACTCAGCATTGTGATGATACATTCAGTTCCAGAACTTCTTAAAAATGGCTAGCCTAATTGCCTTAATTAGGTGGACCTCAGTCAGATTTGTTTATTTTATGATAGTGTAACTTATATTCTTTAATATTAGTGAATATTTTTGCCATTTTTGGCAATGTTTTTTTGGTATATTATTTTTGAATTCTTGACAGATTTTTTCATCTTGTTTATTTTTTTTAATTTTAGTAAATATTATTTTTGTTGTTTTTGACTCCCATGTGCGAAGCACAAAATGGGAGTCTTTGCAGTTAGTGTGTCTGTATGTGTGTATGTGTGTATGTGTGTATGTGTGTATGTGTGTGTGTATGTGTGTCCGACTGTTCCACTGCTATCTCAAGAACCATACATCGGTTTTTGATGAAACTTGGTGCATAGATGCTCTGGGCCAATGCGCAGATTTGATTAGGTTTTGGTAAAAATCCATGCTCGTTAATTACCTAATTTGCATGATAATTAGCTAATTTTTAGCTGTTCTATGACTGTTCCACTGATATCTAAAGAACCACTCATTGGATTTTGATGAAACTTGGTACATAGATGCTCTGAACATATGCGCAGATTTGATTAATTTTTGGTAAAAATCCATGCATATTAATTACCTAATTTACATGATAATTAGCTATTTTTTAGTGGTTCCATGACTGTTCCACTGATATCTAAACAACCACTCATTGGATTTTGATGAAACTTGGTACATAGATGCTCTGAACTAATGCTAGGTTTTGATTAGTTTTTGGTAATAATCCGTGGATACTAATTACCTAATTTGCATAATGATTAGTCAATTTTCAGTTTTTCCACTGATATCTCAAGTACTAATCATCACATTTCAAATGAAACTTGGTACATAGATGTCATACGACACTGCACAGACCTGATAGTTTTTATGGTATATCAGTACATATTAATTACCTATTT